GAAGAGGAGTATGGAAGAAGTGAATGTTTTCAGATACAGTGGACCCTCTCATAGCGCTAGTAGTCCGTTCCTGAGAGCTCAATGTTATGTGAAATTATCGTTATGCGAATGAATTTTCCCCATAAGAAATAATGGAAATCAAATTAATCCGTTCCTGACACCCAAAAGTATGAAAAAAAATTTTTTTACCACATGAAATATTAATTTTAATACACACAAACTGAAGAAGACATGCACAGTTACATGACACTTACCTTTATTGAAGATCTGGTGATGATTGATAGGATGGGAGGAGGGGAGAGTGTTGATGGTCTTAGTGTTTAGAAGGGGAATCCCCTTCCATTAGGACTTGAGGTGTCGAGTCCTTTTCCGGGGTTACTTCCCTTCTTCTTTTAATGCCACTAGGACCAGCTTCAGAGTCACTGGACTTCTGTCGCACAACATATCTGTCCATAGAGGTCTGTACGTCTCGTTCCTTTTTGACTTTCCTAAAGTGGTTCACAACATTGTCAGTGTAATAGTCACCAGCACAGCTTGCAACAGCTGTCTGAGGGTGATTTTCATCCATAAAAGTTTGCACTTTAAGCCACATTGCACAGATTTTCTTAATCTTTGAAGTAGGCAACTTCTTCAGTTTCTCTCTCCCCTCCTCCGAAGCAGTTTCCTCAGGTGTGGCCTCATGCTGATGAAGACGATCTAGCAGCTCATCAGTGGTTAGTTCTTCATTGTCCTCCTCCACCAACTCTTCCACATCATCCCCACTAACCTCCAACCCCAAGGACTTTCCCAATGCCACAATGGATTCCTCAACTGGCATACTCCTCTAAGGGTTAGCCTGAAACCCTTCAAAATCCCTTTGGTCTACACATTCTGGCCACAGTTTCTTCCAAGCAGAGTTCAAGGTCCTCTTAGTCACTCCCTCCCAAGCCTTACCTATAAGGTTTACACAATTGAGGATATTAAAGTGCTCTCCAAAACTCTCTTAGAGTCAATTGAGTTTCTGAGGTCACTACAAAGCACCTTTCAAACATAGCTTTTGTGTACATATGAAGTTTGCAATAACCTGCTGTTCCATGGGCTGCAGGAGAGGAGTGGTATTAGGAGGCAAAAACTTGACCTTAATGAAGCTCATGTCCCCAGAAAGTCGCTCTGCCAAGTCTGTAGGATGACCAGGGGCATTGTCTAACACCAGGAGGCACTTAAGGTCTAATTTCTTTTCAGTTAGGTAATTTTTCACATTGGGGGCAAATGCTTGGTGTAACCAGTCATAGAAAAAGTCCCTAGTGACCCATAGCTTACTGTTTGCCCTCCACAGCACACACAAATTAGCCTTGAGGATATTCTTTTGCCTGAATGCTCTGGGAGTTTCAGAGTGATACACTAATAAAGGCTTCGCTTTGCAATCACCACTAGCATTGGAACACATGAGAAGAGTAAGCCTGTCTTTCATAGGCTTATGTCCTGGGAGTGCCTTTTCCTCCTGAGTAATGTAGGTCCTGCTTGGCATTTTCTTCCAAAACAGGCCTGTTTCGTCACAATTAAACACTTGTTCAGGTTTCAGTCCTTCACTGTTTATGTACTACTTGAATTCCTGCACATATTTTTCAGCTGCTTTGTGGTCCGAACTGGCAGCCTCACCATGCCTTATCACACTATGTATGCCATTACGCTTCTTAAATCTCTGAAACCAACCTTTGCTGGCCTTAAATTCACTCGCATCATCACTAGTTGCAGGCATTTTTCTAATTAAATCCTCATGCAACTTCGTACCCTTTTCACTTATGATCACTTGAGAGATGCTATTTCCTGCTATCTGTTTTTCATTTATCCACTCCAATAAGAGTCTCTCAACATCTTCTATCACTTGCGATCTCTGTTTCGAAAACAAAGTTGCACCTTTGGCAAGAACAGCTTCCTTGATTGCCGTTTTCTTGGACACAATAGTAGCAATGGTTGATTGGGGTTTACTATACTACCTGGCCAGCTCGGAGACACGTACTCCACTTTCATACTTAGCAATGATCTCTTTCTTCATCTCTATAGTAATTCTCACCCTTATTCCTGTAGGGTTGGCACTAGAAGCTTTCTTGGGGCCCATGGTCACTTATTTTTGCAGATAAAATCACCAAAAACTCTGTAATAATACGAAATGTTCCGATTGTATGCTTGGATGTTACCGCGGAGGCTGGCTGGTAAACAATGCCACCGGCGGAACATGTGAGGCTGGCTCAGGCCGCACATTAGACGCGTCTCGGACGAATAGCGTCGAGCGAGTTTTTTAGCGGTATGCGAGGTAAAATTTTAGCGATAAAATGTATCGGTATGAGGATTTAACATTATGTAATGCCAACAGTATGTGAGGGTCCTCTGTATTTGGGAGTTGACGTGTCAGTGGATGGATTTATGAAGGATGAGGTTAATCATAGAACTGATGAAGGAAAAGAGGTGAGTGGTGCATTGAGGTATTCAGTGGACCCCCGCATATCGTTGGCCTTACATAACGTTAAATCCGCATACCGATACATTTTATCGCTAAGATTTTGCCTCGCATACCGCTAAAAAACCCGCTCAACGCTGTTCGTCCGAGACACGTCTATGTGAGGCCTGAGCCAGCCTCACATGTTCCGCCGGTGGCATTGTTTACAAGCCAGCCTCCGCGGTAACATCCAAGCATACAATCGTAACATTTCGTATTATTACAGTGTTTTTGGTGATTTTATCTGCAAAATAAGTGACCATGGGCCCCAAGAAAGCTTCTAGTGCCAACCCTGTGGTAAAAAGGGTGAGAAATATTATCGAAATACTGTGGTACCATGGTCAACTGCTGCTGCTGCTGCTGCTGCTGCTGCTGCTGCTGCTGCTGTAGCACTGTCAGCTGCTGCACCACCGTCATCTGCTGCTGCTGCTGCTGCTGTTGTAGTACCGTCTGCTGCTGCTGCTGCTGCTGCTGTAGTACCGTCTGCTGCTGCTGTAGCATCGTCTGCTGCTGCTGTAGCACTGTCAGCTGCTGCTGCTGCACTGTCAGCTGCTGCTGTAGCACTGTCAGCTGCTGCTGCTGCTGTTGCTGCTGTACCACCGTCAGCTGCTGCTGCTGCTGTACCACCGTCAGCTGCTGCTGCTGCTGTTGTAGTACCGTCTGCTGCTGCTGTAGCATTGTCTGCTGCTGCTGTAGCACTGTCAGCTGCTGCTGCTGCTGCTGCTGCTGTACCACCGTCAGCTGCTGCTGCTGCTGCTGCTGTAGTACTGTCTGCTGCTGCTGCTGCTGTAGTACCGTCTGCTGCTGCTGTAGCATCGTCTGCTGCTGCTGTAGCACTGTCAGCTGCTGCTGCTGCTGCTGCTGCTGCTGTAGCACCGTTGTTGGTGTGGCTTATTGAGAATACCAAGAAACAATTAACCCCAGAGGGTTAGCCACCCAGGATAACCCAAAAAAGTGTGTCATCGAAGACTGTCTAACTTATTTCCATTGGGGTCCTTAATCTTGTCTCCAAGGATGCAACCCACACCAGTCGGCTAACACCCAGGTGAACAGGAAAAAACGCCTGGAACTAGTGCTCATATTGGTGAATTTAAAGCCAGCAAAGCTTGGTTTGAGAGATTTAAGAATCATAGTGACATACACAGTGTGATAAGGCCTGTTCTGGAAGAAAATGCCAAACAGGACCTATAGTACTCAGGAGGAAAAGGCACTCCCAGGACACAGTGTCTCATCAGTCATTGCTGCATCTTCAATAAAGGTAAGTGTCATTTATTCTTCATTTAGTAGAGTAGTACATGCACAATATATACTGTGCATGTACTACTCTACTATTGTGCATGTATCCTTCTCTTTGTGTGTAGGAAAATGTATATTTCATGTGGTAAAATTTTTTTTTTCGTACTTTTGGGTGTCTTGCACGGATTAATTTGATTTCCATTATTTCTTATGGGGAAAATTCATTCGCATAACGATAATTTCGCATAACAATGAGCTCTCATGAACGGATTAATATCGTTATGCGGGGGTCCACTGTATATGGAGACAAAATAATGTTATCTTTGGAGGCAAAGAAGGGAATGTATGAAAGTATAGTAGTACCAACACTCTTATATGGGTGTGAAGCTTGGGTTGTGAATGCAGCAGCGAGGAGGGGGTTAGAGATGTCCTGTCTAAGGGCAATGTGTGGTGTGAATATTATGCAGAAAATAAAGAGTGTGGAAATTAGGAGGTGTGGAGTTAATAAAAGTATTAGTCAGAGGGCTGAAGAGGGGTTGTTGAGGTGGTTTGGTCGTTTAGAGAGAATGGATCAAAGTAGAATGACATGGAGAGTGTATAAATCTGTAGGGGAAGGAAGGCGGGGCAGGGGTCATCCTCGAAAAGGCTGGAGGGAGGGGGTAAAGGAGGTTTTGTGGGCGAGGGGCTTGGACTTCCAGCAAGCGTGTGTGAGTGTGTTAGGAGTGAAGGGAGACGAATGGTATTTGGGATATGACGAGTTGTTGGAATGTGAGCAGGGTAATATTTAGTGAAGGGATTCAGGGAAACCGGTTATTTTTATATAGCCGGACTTGAGTACTGGAAATGGGAAATACAATGCCTGCACTTTAAAGGAGGGGTTTGGGATATTGGCAGTTTGGAAGGATATGTTGTATATCTTTATATGTATATGCTTCTAAACTGTTGTATTCTGAGCACCTCTGCAAAAACAGTGATTATGTGTGAGGTGAAAGTGTTGAATGATGAAAGTATTTTCTTTTTGAGGATTTTCTTTCTTTTTTGGGTCACCCTGCCTTAGTGGGAGACGGCCGACTTGTTGAAAAAAAAAAAATTGCATGTTCTCTACTTTAATAGCCATTGATTTGTTTGTAGCTGTGGAGCAGAGCTAAGCTCAAGGTGTTATAGTGTGAGCAGTAAAATATTTGATTTTATTTTCATTTTGGCTAAGCCACAAAAATTGTCAAAATTTCGTAGTACAAAGTCATAATATTTGATTTTGGATTATCTTTGCATTCATAACTGCTTCTAGGACCTAGAAAAGGTGCGGAGAGATGGTGCATCCCCAAAGGAATTGGAAAAAGCTGAAGCCAAGTTACGGAAAGCTCATGATGAGTATCGTTCTCTTGTGGAAAAGTACAACAATATCCGTGAAGAGTTTGAAAAAAGAATGACCACTTCTTGCGTGGTAAGTAAACATTTTTTTTTATTATACATTACATTTACAATTTACTTTTTTTAAACGCATGAAACTGCTTTCCACTAAAAAAAAAAGTTACTTAAAAAAGGAAAATACATTAATCATCCCTCATTTCCTAACCACATTTCCAGAATGATTACGAGACCATAACATCGCCACCCATGCTTGAAGTTGCAGCAAAGTACTTTGCATTTCCAGAACTTAAGTCTTGTTAACTAGTTTCCCCAGAACCTATTCATAGATGTTATGCTTACACTAACTGCATGTCAATTTTCTAAATCCACTTTCTTACACCCTGAGCTAACATATTCCCTTTCCTCTTAAAGCCTCCTATGCACTCACCTTCCAATCTTTTCTAGGGGCATCCACTATGATTCCTATCACCCCAGATTTATAAACCCTCTTGAACAACCTATATGCACCATTCTTCTGAAGGACAGAAACATCTTAATGACCCTTTCTTTGCTCCCTGACTTATACTTTTCATTATGCCACGTTGTCTTTGAGTATCTTTACTCCTTAGTCTTTCCATAATATTCACACCACACATTGCTCTCAGACATGATACTTCCAATTCTTCCAGTTTTTTTTCTGCTTTCTGCAGTACTCAGAGACCATGCCTGACATCAGTGCAAAAGTTTTTGTGCAGCTTTAGAGCATTCACATACGTTTTTCTTTTTTGCATTCATTAACAAACCTTTCGCTTAGTAGATTCTTCCATACCCCACCTACCTACTGTTTTCCTCCCTCATCTATTATATAATTTATCTTGTCTTTCATACAACCATCTGCCTTCACGTCCACTCCTAGAGACCTAAACACTACTACTTCCTCCATATTTCTTGACTTCTTTACTCTCTTCATCTGCTCTTCTTTCATTGTTCATTTTCCCTAACTTCTCCAATATCTGTAATGTCTTTTCCAAATTTCTTAAAGGCACCTTGCCATCAACAAAGAGTAGCTGTGGCAACTTCTACTTTATATCTGAAATTTTTAAACTCATTGGTCATTTCTCACTGAGGCAGGGTTACCCAAAAGAGAAAAAACACTTTCATCATCATTCACTCCATCACTGTCTTACCAGAGGCATGCCAATACTACAATTCAAAAACTGCAACTTATCTACACCCCACCTTCAGAGTGCAGGCACTGTATTTCCCACCTCCACAACTCAAGTCCAGGTAACTGGTTTCCCTGAATCCCATCATAACTGTTGCCTTGCTTACACTCCAACTGCACGTCATCATAAAAACTACTTGCCTCCACTCGCATCTAACATGCTTTCACATGCCTGCTGGATGTTCAGGCCAATTGTGTACAAAACCTTTACCTCCCCTCCCTCCTTTTTCCTAGGGCAACTCCCTACCCTTCCTTCCCTCCACTGTAGATTTATACACCCTCCAAGTTCTCATATTTTGCTCCATCCTCTCTGAATGTCCAGACCACCTCAACAACCCCTCCTCAACCCTCTGTATAATACTTTTAGTAACCCTGCACATTCTCCTAATCTCCAAGCTATGAATTAATTGCATAATATTTACACTACACATCACCTCTGACCTCCACTGCCTCCATCCTCCTCCTCGCTGCAACATTCACAACCCATGCCTCACACCCTTATTAGAATGTTGGTACCACTATACATTCCCCTCTTGTCTCCATGGATAACGTTCTTTGTCTCCACAGATACCTCAGTACACTGCCGACCTTTTTCCCTTCGTCAGTTCTATGGCTCACCTCGTGTTTCATATGCCCATCTGCTGACAAATCTACTCCCAAATATCTGAACACATTCACTTCCTCCATACTCCCTCCTTCCAGTCTGATATCCAATCTTTCATTACCTATCTCATCTGTTACCCTTAACACCTTTCTCTTTCCTGTGTTCACTTTTAACCCATAACCCGTAAACGGTCCAAACATATATATACGTTCTTACCACTAGCGTCCCAAATGTATATATACGTTTTATTTTGCCTGCCTCCAAATTTGGCACAATTGGCCTGAGATGCATGGTCAACACAGAATGGGTCTTAACACTCAGTGTGCACCATATTAAAATCTGGGACCACTTAGTACCTTGTGGGAGCGCCAGTTATATTGAATGCCAGCTAGAGCAAACAGCGCAGCAAACACCAAGGATTCACTGATGTAATGTCATATTAACCCTTTCAGGGTCCGTCCCGTAGATCTACGGCTTTACGTTCAGGGTCCAAACCGTAGATCTACGTCATGAGCTCAGCTCACTCTGATAAACTGTGAGTGGTACATTTGGGCCTAGATATGAGAGAATACATCTGTGTGGTATGTGTGCACCACATAAAACAGATCCTGCAGCACACTGTGTATAATGAGAGAAAAAAAACTGAAATCATGATTTTTGATTAAAACAGCGACTTTGCAGTGTTTTTTCGTATGTTTTTTATAGTTCTATTTGCGATTTCTTGGTCTCATTTGATAGAATGGAAGACATATTACAGAAATAGAATGATTTTGATTGGTTTTAGCACTGGAAATGGCTTGAAACTGAGCTCAAAGTAGCGGAAATGTTAAATTTTTGCCGATATTCAAGAGTAAACAAACGACCTCACACATCTAATACACGCCAGCTGGTGGGTCTAATATACATTCACAAATATGGTGATGATATTTATACACTTATTACAGTATTGCATAACAGCAAATCTTCTATTTTTTGGTGTGAATAAAAATTCATTATGTGAATAAAAAATCAAAATGGAATTTATTTGTAAAGCCTCAAAACATAACTAATGAACAGAGGAAACGTTAGTTTAGTTCCAGGAATACCTACATTGTTTATTCTGGACCCCATTTTGAAATTGGAATATTTTGAACTTTGTGTTAAATTGGCCAAATTAACAATTTCTGATCACTTTATTTTGTAGTTGAAACAGTTGACTTGGCGATTTCTTGTGCTCAATCGATAGAATAGAAGTAACACTAGTGAAATAGCTAAGAATTTGGTTGACTGGAATAATGTAATTGGCCTAAACTGGGAGTCAAAGTTGGCAAAATCGCAGATTCGTAAATATCGCTGACACATGAAAATTCGCGAGAGCATAATTTCGTCAATTTTCCATCAAATTTCGTACTTTTTGTTTTATTACCTTCACAAAAAGATTTTCTACCATTTCATAAGAAAAAATAACAAATTTTTTTTTTTTAAATTCTTGGACACTGGGGCACCACTTCAGATTTGGGCCTTGGACCCTGAAGGAGTTAACACTCCCTTTTTAAGAGGAAATTGATGTTAACCCCAAGTTTAGGGTCTGTCTGTCTGTCTATTTGTCTATCTCTGTCTGTCTGTATCTATCTGTCTATCTGTCTCTTGTCGTCTGTCTCACAGGTACACACAAATACAATTATACATAGTGTAAATTACCTAGGATAACCTAAAAAATCCGAAGTGCTATACTCTGCTTGTAGATATAATGCATGAGAATACCTGTTGGTTCACAGTGGCTCTCTCTGAGACAGACAGAGAGAAAAGCAGAGAGATGGGAAGAGACAGGCAGACAGAAATTAAGACAGAGAGACAGATAATCAGAAATACAAGCTCATCAAATGTCATCCCTTATCTCTGCACCCTTGCTGGCGCCCATCAAATGTCATCTCATATCTCATCACTGCCCTCCCGGATGCTTGTCACTAAACACTTGTCTTACACATTACTTCAAGGGAACTTCTTTCTCCTCCTTCCTCCTCCTACTTCCTTCTTCCTCCTCCTCCTTTTTCTTCTTCTTCTTTTTCTATACTCCCATGTATCCAGAGCATTGCTGGGACGTATAAATGCGTTGTATATATTCCTAGACAATAGTAAATGACCAAGGCAGGTGTAAATGTCCACCTATTAATTGGTTTGTGACAATTTGAGTACAATTTCAGTACCTAATATTAGTGTCAGAACAAAGATTGGTTATGAAATGACAAGAACTACAATAAATTGTAATTATCAGAACATAAAAATTATTTAAAATAATACAAAAATAAGAATAATGGTATATCGGCAACACTTCTGCAAGCGGCAGGACTCGATGTTGCTGTCAGGTGAGCATTAAGTGCCAACTTTGCAGCCTCATATCTCAGTAAGTACTGACCCTAATTTTTTTATTTTAATCCTATAACACTTAGAAAAACGTGCTCTTTATTTTTATTTAAAAAATGATTTTTTTTTTTTTCAAAATATTCAGGGCACTGGGGTAGTGAATGTATACGTTGGGACCGTTTATGGGTTAAACTGTCCAAACATAGATCAGCACTTACGTGCGTAGCGCTCTAATTGTAGATCTACGTTTTATTTTACGTGCTTTCAACATTGACACAATAAGCCTGAGTTGCCTAGACATGAGAGAATGAGTCTGTGCACTCAGTGTGCTCAGTATGACAAAATTCTGGGATGCCGGGAAAAATGTGCTGTTCATTTTAAACAAAAAAAAAAAAAAATTATTTTTCCCCAAAATATTCAGAGCGGTATGCATGTGAACGTTGATCTACCTTTGGACAGTTTAAGGGTTAATATCCTTTTACACACCCTCCCAAATTTGTCCACCAACCTTTAAAACTTTTTGGGAACTCCCAGAAGCACAGCATCATCAGCAAAAAGCAGCTGTGATAACTTCCATTTTATGTTAGTCTACATATTTTAATTCCATGCCTCTCCCCAACACCCTAGCATTCACCTGTTTTATAATTCCGTCTATAAATATGTTAGACAATCTTGGTTACATCACACATTCTTGTCTAAAACTTACTTTTACTGGAAAATAATCTCCCTCCTACATTCCCTAACCTGAGCCTCACTGTCCTTATAAAAACTGTTAACAGCATTTAGTAATTTACCACCTGTTACTATTATTATTAGGGAAGTCCCAAAGTATCAGTATTAATATCAGTGGTATTCGGTTGATTTTGATTGCATCAGTATTGGTGGGAATTGGATAATTTTGATGGTTTCAGTGGTAAAATATAGTTGAGCAACAGTATTGGTGAGTATTGGCTAATTTTGATTGTGTCAGTATTGGCACCAGTATCAATTGGAAGTGGTTAATTTTGATGGTATTGATGTATTGGCAAAAATTTTGGCATGTCCCATCTGTTATTAATTCTTATTATTATTGTTAATAATAATTGCAGTGTTTTTTAAGTTCTTAATAGTTTTAGTTACTGTGTATTAAATTTTCTTATTGTCTTCATTTTAATTTTTCCTACAAGATAGGAAGAGGGAGCAGGGCGAGGCTGTGAATACTAGTGGTTTAGATGTTGATTTTTATTTTGCATGTAGGGTAATGCTGTCTCATGATATTAGTTGTAGTAGGACAGATATGTACTTAACTGGATAAAGGGTGTGCAAATAGCCCCTGCAGTTATTCTCACTGAGAGAGACTTAGTTACATTTGCTCTTCATACATTACCATAAGTGTGAAAAATAGTAGCATAGAGATTCTTGATTATGTTTGAGTTTTGAAGGCTTTCTTATGGCATAGGTAGTAGAGAAAATAAGGCACCAGACCGTGACTGGAACAATGCACAAATAACCAGCACATAGGAGAAAGAAACTCATGACGACTTCTCAGCTTGACTTTGACCACTAACTAGTGACTAGTTAACCCTTTGACTGTCGCGGCCGTATATATACGTCTTACGAGGTACCGTGTTTGACGTATATATACTCATAAATTCTAGCGGCTTCAAATCAAGCAGGAGAAAGCTGGTAGGCCCACATGTGAGAGAATGGGTCTGTGTGGTCAGTGTGCACCATATAAAAAAAATCCTGGAGCACGCAGTGCATAATGAGAAAAAAAAACTCCGACTGTTTTTTTAATTAAAATGCAGACTTTGTGGTCTATTTTCGTATAGTATTTATGGTTGTATTCTCGTTTTCTTTGTCTCATTTGATAGAATGGAAAACATATTATAGAAATAGAGGTGATTTTGATTGATTTTACTATAAAAAGAACCTAGAAATGGAGCTCAGAGTAGGGGAAATGTTTGATTTTTGCCTATGTTCAAAAGTAAACAAATGATGCCATTGTCCAATAAATGTCCAACTAGCCATTCTAATATGCAGTCATGAATGGGTTGATGTTATTTATACAATTATTACAGTATTGCAGTAGTCTGCATAATAGTAAGTCTTCTATTTTTTGTTTGAATAAAAATTCAAAATAGAAAGCAAGAGTAATATCAGAGGGGCCTGGAGACATGACTGATGAGCAAAGAAAATGTTATTTTAGAGCCAGGAATGTCTGCATTGTTCATTCTGGACCTTATTTTGAAATTGTCATATTTTTTAATTTTCATGAAATTGGCCAAATTGCAAATTTCTGACCACATTATTAGGTAGTTGAAATCGGTAAATGGGCAGTTTCTTGTACTCAATCGATAGAAAAAATGGAGTTCTAAAGAAATAGCTATGAGTTTGGGCGACTGGAACAATGGAATTAGCCGAAAATAGGGCTCAAAGTGGGCGAATTCGCCGATTTGTAAACAGCGCCGAGGTCGCCACCTTCGCGAGAGCATAATTCCGTCAGTTTTCCATCAAATTTCGTTTTTTTGGTGTCATTACAATCGGGAAAAGATTCTCTATCATTTCATAAGAAAAAATAATTTTTTTTTTTTTTTAAATTTTGCGACACCAGGAGACACCTCAGGATTGGGGGTTGCGACAGTCAAAGGGTTAATGGTCCAAGTCAGACAAACATCGTGTTAATTTTCTTTCTCCCATGTGTGGGTTATTTGTGTATAGGTAGTAGGCTGGTAGACAACAACCATCCAGAGTAATACAGTACTCTATCCTCATGCATGAGTGTGCAGCTAACCTGTTAAATATTTTGTGCTCATTAAAGATTACTAAAGTTCTCTTTCCTTTTTCATAAACATGTAAGATGTAAGGTAAATCTGAAAACTTATGTTAACATTCAGTAGATATATTCTTTGTAGTTTAGGCACGCCTCTGGCAGGACACTGATGATGAAAGTTTTTCTTCTTTTTCGGGTCACCCTGCCTCAGTGGGAAACAACCACTGTGTTAATACTTTTCTTTGTTTCTTAATAGCCCATATTTTGAAATATCAGACATTGAGTGCAATTTTTTGTAAATACAATTGAAGAGCTATGTACATCCAAAATCAAATAGCACATGGAAAGGCTTGTAGAATACATTCTGTTTAATTTTAGATGCACTCTTTCAATCAAATTTACAAGAAAAAATCATATTACATAGAAGTGCTTTATAAGGAAACTGTACTGTATTTCCATTGTAAGTGAAAAGGCTCTGTCTCAGATGAAGCAGTGTGCCTGGACTATCTCAGGTGGGGCAGTGTGCCTGAACTATCTCAGATGGGGCAGTGTGCCTGAACTATCTCAGGTGGGGCAGTGTGCCTGAACTATCTCAGGTGGGGCAGTGTGCCTGAACTATCTCAGGTGGGCAGTGTGCCTGAACTATCTCAGGTGGGGCAGTGTGCCTGAACTATCTCAGGTGGGGCAGTGTGCCTGAACTATCTCAGGTTGGGCAGTGTGCCTGAACTATCTCAGGTTGGGCAGTGTGCCTGAACTATCTCAGGTGGGGCAGTGGGCCTGAATTATCTCAGACAGGGCAGTGTGCCTGAACTATCTCAGATGGGGCAGTGTGCTTGAACTAACAACAGATAACTTTAAGAGAATTGCCTCATTTTTCAGAAATTTCAAACTGTAGAGGAGACACACTTGGCACAGATGCTGCAGTTTGTACAAACCTACATAAGTGTGCTGCAGAGTAATCATGAAGCCATGGGACAAATTCATCGTGATCTTCTTAACCAGTATTCTCAGTTCTCTGTCGAGAAACTCCTTGACCAGTTTGCACTCTCCAAGCACACCGGCCTTGAGAAGCCTAGTAAGTTAATTACATTTTAATGTACTGTACTTTTCCAGTGATAGCAGTCATAAATTAAAGGAAAGGGGATAAATATTTAATGAAAGGCACATAAAGATCACGTAATACCTAAATGGTTAATAATAGTTGATACAGGAAGATGGTGATAGGTGTACTGGTATTAGTTCAAATTTTTTTTTTACTTTGCACCTTTCTCCAGTTTCAGTTTTATAATCATCATAGTCAGTCTTTTTTGAATGGTAATCTCATTTTTCCAAGTATGCAAATGTCCCGTGGTATATGAATAATTCTTTGATCCCAGATTATAGATAGGATTGAGTGGAGACAAATGGTTTTTGGGACTTGACAAGCTGTTGGATTGTGAGCAGGCAAATATTTTGTGAAGGGATTCAGGGAAAGCGGTTAGTCGGACTTGAGTCCTGGAGGTGAGAAGTACAATGCCTGCACTGTAAAGGAGGGGTTTGGGATATTTGCTGTTTAGAGAGAGACATAAACTGTCATGTTTGTGCACCTCTTCAAACAGTGATAGTGGGAATGATGGTGAAAGAGTTTTTTTTTTTTTTTTTTTTTTTTTTTTTTGGCCACCCTGCCTCAGTGGGGGGAGATGGCCAGTGTATTGAAAAAAACAAAAAGGTATATACTGTCAATATATAATATACACTGCAACCATTGTTTAGTTTTATACTCCTAGAGTACTGACATTAGTAAAAAAGTTTATCATACTATAAATTGAGGAAAGTATATTTTCCACAAATTATTATTGAAATAGCACTGTACTGTACTTGTATAAAAGTAGTAAGAACAGTTATATAAAATGCTTTCCTTAGTGTTCTTTATGTTATCTTAACCCTTTGACTGTCGAAGGGCCAAATCCTGAAGTTGCTTCTGGTGTCGCAAAATATTCGAAAAAAAAAAAAATTATTTTTTCTTATGAAATGATAGAGAATCTTTTCCCGATTGTAAAGACACCAAAAAAACGAAATTTGATGGAAAACTGACGGAATTACGCTCTCGCGAAGTTAGCGACTTCGGCGATATTTAAAAATCGGCAATTTCGCCCACTTTCAGCCCTATTTTCGGCTAATTCCGTTATTCCAGTCAACCAAACTCATAACTATTTCTTCAGAACTCTATTTTTTCTATCGATTGAGTACAAGAAACTGCCCATTTACCGATTTCAACTACCCAATAACATGGTCAGAAATTTGCAATTTGGCCAATTTCACGAAAATTAAAAAATACGACAATTTCAAAATAAGGTCCAGAATGAACAATGCAGACATTCCTGGCTCTAAAATAACATTTTCTTTGTTCATCAGTCATGTCTCCAGGTCCCTGTGATATTACTCTTGCTTTTTATTTTGAAATTTTATTCAAACAAAAAATAGAAGATTTACTGTTATGCAGACTACTGCAATACTGTAATAATTGTAAAAATTACATCAACCCATTCATGACTGCGTATTAGAATGGCTATTTGGACATTTATTGGACAATGACATTTGTTCTCTTTTGAACATCGGCAAAAATCAAACATTTCCTGTACTTTGTGCTCCATTTCCAGGTTCTTTTTATAGTAAAATTAATCAAAATCACCTCCATTTCTATAATATAGTTTCCATTCTATCAATTGAGACCAAGAAAACGAGAATACAACCACAAATACTATACGAAAATAGACCACAAAGTCGGCATTTTAATTAAAAAAAACGGTCGGAGTTTTTTTTTTCTCATTATGCACTGCGTGCTCCAGGATTTTTTTTATGTGGTGCACACTGACCACACAGACCCATTCTCTCACATGTGGGCCTACTAGCTTTCTCCTGCCTGATTTGAAGCCGCTAGAATTTATGAGTATATATACGTCAAACACGGTACCTCGCAAACGTATATATACGGCCGCGACAGTCAAAGGGTTAATTTATTGAACATAGACAAATCAGTAAGAGTATAATGCAACTTCCTTTTACCTAAAATTTCATAAGATTACATTGCTTAAGTAAAAATGATGGTTGCTTGAGACCAAATGGGAATTTAGGTTCTTTTTAACTGTAACATTCAACTTTCAACTTAGAACTTGTGTTGCATGAAGAGATCTTGATGCCGTATGGTGTGAGGTATCCAGAAGTACAGTTGCTGGCATGTTGTGGCACCTTAACCCTTTCAGGGTTTCCAACGTACCAGTACGGCTTACGCGCCAGGGTTATTGACGTACTAGTACGCGTAAATTCTAGCGCCTTCAAATCAAGCGGGAAAAGGCTGGGAGGCCAAGATGTGAGGGAATGGGTGTGTGTGGTCGGTGTGAGCGGTATAAAAAATAATCTGGGACCCAGCGGCGCATTGTGTGAATGCCATTTTAGTGCACCTTGCTCACCATGCCTTGTGGTTAGAAACTCCTCACTCCTCGGCAAATTGGGACACTTTTGTTCCCCAGTGACAGTTCTAATAGAGATGGAAGTGCCAGTGAAGATGAGTTTCAAGGTTTTGATGAGGTTGTGACTGAAACTAATGACTATAATACCGGTAATAGTGAGGAAAACCCAGACGACCCTCAGCCTTCCACCTCTGCTGCTGGGCCATCTTGTTCACGTTCAGTTGTACCAGAATGAAAGAGGAAACTCCTATTTTCCCATATCCCGGACTCAGATGTGAGCATTGGTGATGATAGTGATAGTGAATATGAACTTCAAGCTCTTGAAAATAGTTCCAGTAGCAATAGTGAAGTGGAATATTCTCCAGTGAAGCGTCAGTATATAAACGGTATATGTGCTCTGGTAGTGTGCCATATGCTATTCCAAGGGGAAGGAGTACATCTCGGAGTACATCCCATGGCTGTACAACAGGAACTGATAGTGAAAATGAAGATGATAGTGTTGCAGTTGGGATGGAAAATGTGCATGGTGATGGTAGTGGTGATGCCGGCCGTGAGGCACCAGCAGTGGGTCGTGCTGCCACCCACGCCACTGCCTCAGCTGATCTACAACAAAGGCCACCATCCCCCACTCACCCACCATACCAGCCTCCACAACCACCTGTCAGTATCCAGTACCCACCAGCAGACTGCACCTGGGATTGGCAGGAAGCTGCCAATTTTGTTCCCAATCCCCATCAGTTTGATGAAAGTCAAAGTGGAATACGGCCATCTTGTACACTTGGGAACAATGCCACTGAACTGGAATGTTTCGAGTTATTCTTTGATGAACCCCTGATGGAAATTATTGTCAGGGAAAGCAACACATACTTCGATTACACCATGGCAAGATGAGATTAAGACACATGTGCAACATCTGGGTATCTTTATTGTAGACGTTTCGCCATCCAGTGGCTTTATCAACACAATTTCTACACCATGGCAAACAGAGTGCCTTCACCAAAATCACACCTACACCAGTGGAAGGAGACAACTGTGGCTGAGATGTATCTCTTCTTTGCCACAGTAAAGCTATGCCACATGTGTATAAGCACAGTGTCAAATCATACTGGTCAACATACCGCCTGATTGCAACCCCAGGATTTAGTGATATAATGCGAGCGAATTGATTTGTGCTACTATTATGTATACTACACTTCTCAGACAAAACCAGACCTGACAGAAACGACAGGTTATATAAGATTAGGAATGCGTTTGTGTGTCTGAAAGAGAAATTCAATATGTATTTTTATCCCTTCAGGAAGCTTGTTATTGATGAGTCTTTGATTCTGTTCAAAGGAAGACTCATTCAAGCAGTACATACCAAGCAAGAGGAAACACTTTGGTATAAAGTTATTTGTGCTTTGTGACTGCTACAGTGGTCTTGTATCGGATATTATTGTGTACACTGGAGCTTATACATTGCAAAATACCAGGAAGTTATTGAGCATCTCTGGTGATGTGGTTAGAACAATGATGGAACTATATCTTGGTAAGGGGCATATATTATACACTGATAACTGGTACACAAGCCCCTCACTCAGTGATGCTTTGCGAGTGAACATGACAGATGTGTGTGGCACAGTGCGTGCAAATCGTAAACATATGCCCAGGTTTGACGCTGGCACTCGTAGAGGTGAGGTGCAGGCGTTTGCTGCCAATGACATCATGGCATTTCAGTGGCATGACAAACGAGATGTCACACTGTTGTCATCAGTTCACCCTAGCGAAATGACGAACACTGGCAGGCAGAATAGAGAGACCAATGAACCCATTCTAAAACCTGCAGCTGTGATTGATTACACCTCCAATATGCGTTCAATGGACAAATGTGACATGCAGATTGGGTTTGCTGATTGTGTTTGCAAGAGTTATCAGTGATACATAAAACTCTTTTTTCATCTTCTGGACATTTCCATGCTCAATGCTTATAATATGTATAAGATGAGGACCAGAAACAAACCACCATATGGAGAATTTTGTTTGTCTGTCATCAGACAAATAGTATTCAAGTACCAAGGAACAACAATTGCAATAGAAAACTGCCCACTAAATTATCAACAACTACTTTCTCATCTGAAGTATGGTGATCACTTCCTAATACAACTGCCTGCTACTGCTTTCAAGAAAAAGGCTCAGAAGAGGTGTTACATCTGTGCACATACAAAAAAACGCCCACAACAATGCAGAGACACTCGTTTTATGTGTGAGGAGTGTAAAACACCACTGTGCATGGCGCCATGTTTCAAAGAGTTCCACAGGCTGCAGAACTTCTAGAAACATTCCCTGTGACTGTATATGTGTATATAAATATAGAAAAATAGTAATAAACAATATTTTATATCGTTCGTTTGCGTAAATAAGCTTTGTAAACAATGCAGTGACAACAGTGTTTGTGCAGTTATTGTGTAGTAAATAAAGAGAAAACTTACAAAATAGTGCTCATACTGGTCTCACAGGCCATAAAAGTTACTTGAAAGAAAATAATTAAAAAATAATAGAAAAAAGTAGAATAAAAGAAAATAAGAAAATACCGGGTGACCAGCAGTCGGAGATGATGCCACATGTGGCTCATTTTCTGTCAACTTCACGCCCCCATATCTCGGTAAGTATTGATGGCAAAAAAAATTGTTTAGCCTATATTGTTCAGAAAAAAAAAACTATCTTTTCATAAGAAAAAGTAATTTTTTTTTGGGGGGGGGGATTTCTTGACCCTGAGAACGAGTCTGGGAGAGGACCTGTTGACCCTGAAAGGGTTAATGGGCAACTTGCATTATTTTTGTACAGTCCCACAGATGTGCTCTATTTGTATTTTGGTCAACATCAATATCGTTCTATGTATTGACTGTAATAGTGCACTGATGTCAGTGTAGAGTTAACTTAAGAATTTGGCATCATAGTTCAGTACTGATGTGTTCCTGTTAATCCTGAGGACTTTTTTTTTTTTACATGGTTAGCTGTGTAATACTTGTGTGTTTATGTAATATTATTGGAACTTATGGTGTCAATCTCTGGCTTGTGGAAGAACAAAGGAGACTGCAGAGCCAAGAACCATCAGTGGGGAGAGGGCACCTTGTTCTTTCCCCCTAGTAGTGTTTCCGAATGCAACAAGTTTTGTGTCCAGATTTGGAAGATACATAAATAACCTGCACTTAGCAGACAAACTTACTGCAGCATTTCTGTCCAAACTGGACCATTAACAGCCACACTGAAATGAGGAAGGAAGGAGAACAGAATAAAAATGAGAGGGGGGGGGGGTGAGGGAAAGGAGAGGTAGAATGGGAGGAGAGAGTAGTAGTAGTAGTGCAGAAGTGGTAGTGTGTGGAAATAAGTAAATCACAGTAGTGGAAAAATAAGGATATACTAAGGGCAGAGAGTGTAGTGTTAGTGAAGAAATAGTATAAGTTATAGTGGTGTTGCTCCATAAGAACAGGTGAGAGAGGAGGGCATCACAGAGACAAAACCAGGACTAAAGTTCATGTTATTAATGTTATGTGTAAGGAAAGCTTCAACATGATGGCATCTATGAAGGTTAGAAGAAAGGTAGACAGTTTTAGCAGGGAACTAGTTAATAGTATGACTGTGACCTCTAACATGACAGAAAAGAGCAATGTACGAGAATGGTATACAATACCGACAAGATGAAAACTGAGACACATGTGCAACATCAGGTTAGAGTATGTATATTTATAGATGGAGTAGTAATTGAAGTGAATGCTCAGGTCTTGGCAAGAGGTGTGGGGTTAAAAGATAAAGAATCTAACACAAAGTGGGAGTTGTCAGTTGCTCTTTGCTGATGACAGTGTGCTTTTGGGAGATTCTGAAGAGAGGTTGCAGAGGTTGGTTGATGAGATTGGTAGGGTATGTAAAAGAAGGAAGTTAAAAGTAAATATAGGAAAGAGTAAGGTGATGAGGATAACAAAAAAAATTGGGTAATGTAAGATTGGATATCAGATTGGAGGGAGAGAGTATGGAGGAGGTGAATGTGTTCAGATATTTGGGAGTGGATGTGTCAGCAGATGGGTCTATGAAGGATGAGGTGAATCATAGAATTGACGAGGGGAAAAAGGCGAGTGGTGCACTGAGGAGTCTGTGGAGAGAAAGAACTTTATCAGTGAAAGAAAAGAGGGGAATGTGCGAGAGTATAGTTATACGAACGCTCTGGTATGGATGTGAAGCATGGGTTGTGAATGTTGCAACAAGGAGAAGGCTGGAGGCAGTGAAGATGTCATGTCTGAGGGTAATGTGGTGTGAATATAATGCAGAGAATCTGTGGTTTGGGGAGTTTGGAGATTAGGTGGTGTGGGATTACCAAAAGTATTATTCAGAGGGCTGAGGAGGGGTTATTGAGATGGTTTGGACATGTAGGGAGGATGGAACAAAATAGAATGACTTTGAGAGTACAGTGGACCCCCGGTTAACGATATTTTTTCAATCCAGAAGTATGTTCAGGTGCCAGTACTGACCGAATTTGTTCCCATAAGGAATATTGTGAAGTAGATTAGTCCATTTCAGACCCCCAAACATACACGTACAAACGCACTTACATAAATACACTTACATAATTGGTCGCATTCGGAGGTGATCGTTATGCGGGGGTCCACTGTATACAAATCTGTAGCGGAGGGAAGGTGGGGTAGGGGTTGGCCTAGGGAAGGTTGGAGGGAGGGGGTAAAGGAGGTTTTGTGTGTGAGCATGTTAGACAGGAGCGAATGGAGACAAATGGTTTTTAGGACTTGACGTGCTGTTGGAGTGTAAGCACGGTAACATTTATGAAGGGATTCAGGGGAACTGGCAGGCCGGACTTGAGTCCTGGAGATAGGAAGTACAGTGTCTGCACTCTGAAGGAGGGGTGTGGATAAGTTGCAGTTTTATAACTGTAGTGTAGGCATGCCTCTTGCAAGACAGTGATGGAATGGATGATGAAAGTTTTTCTTTTTTGGGCCACCCTGCCTTGGTGGGAAATGGTCAATGTGTTAATAATAATAATAATAAAAAATGAACAAATGCACCAACTACTCCAAAATTATATCCTCACCTGCTTTTACTATTTCTGTCTTAATCCTGTCCATCTCAGCAAAATTATATCCTCGCCTACTTTTATGCCTCATGCACTGGTAAACTCTGAAGTTTGTCTCATTCATCTTAGTCTAGAAAGCATGACCTCTTTCTTCTAAGAGGCCAACTTCTTTTATCATGTTTTGTTGGTCCACTGGCATCAGTTTGGAATAGTTTTAGACTATCTGAAATGTTTTATCTTTTTCTTCCTTGGTTGTAAAATATAATTTTTATGTTCATTTGTCTTTTCTTCAGATGCAATGGTGTTTGAGGATGCAGGCTCATTAGGCTCAGCAGTATCAGGGCAACAGTCTCCTGAACCAGCTGATCAGTCCAAATCGTCTGCGGAAGATGGTGGAGGTGGCGGGGGTAGCTCCACCGGTAGCGTCTTAGCTGGAGGTACTGTGGGTGTGACAAAGCCTAGTAGGAAGGAAGGTGGTAAAAAGTTATTACGTGAACGTGCTTCAGTGTTTTCTATGTCCAGGGTTACTTTACGATCTCCTTCAACTACCACAGCAGGTTCTGGTAGTCGAATAGGGAGTGGGATTAACAGCAGTGGGGTCAGTGTCACTTCTTCCTCCTCCATCACTAGCACCAAAACCACTCCCACTTTTACTCAGGATTCCATCTGTTCTGAAATCCAAACTGCTGCTGCTACAGTGAACACTAGCACCACTAAAGGCAGCAACATGTGTGGCACGAGCAACAACAAACCATCCCGTCGCACCACCTCTCTGCTCAACCTGTTTGTGGCATCCACTTCCTATGCTGGTATGTGGTTGGTCATTGTGTTCTTATGTTACAGGCTCTGTGGCAACATGTTTCACTTTATATGATATTATTTCATGTTATTTCTCTAGCTGTTCATCTATATATACATATATATATTTTTAATCTGTTGAGAATAGTATGATTAAGAAGGTAGTAGGTACAAGTATGAAAGACATCCCTCTTTCATCTCATGATTGTCTTTCTCGTACTCAGGATGCTGTTAAAAAGAACCTGCACTGCAAACATCTGCTCTGTATGCTAGGATGATTTTTTTTGGCACATGTGTGCAACATGTGTGTTGTGTGCTGGTGGGTGGGTGTGATTATATGTAATTACCAATTGTAATTACATATTTAAATCTGCAGGGGAAGGTGAGGAGGGAGCCAGCTCTTGTTTGTCATGCCTCTTAATGTTTTAACTGACTGGTGTGGAATAGCTCCATCATATCTGATTTTAACCCCTGTGTGGAGTCCACTTCCGCTGCATCATTGGTCAGTTCATTGTACATATTGGCCACTCTTATGTTGAAATATTTTTTATATCCCTGTGGCCATATGGTTTATTTTTGTATGTTGCAAAGTACAGTATTTTGTATGCTGTTATCACACACCCTCTTGTTCTTCATTCTTCCTTGACAGATAGCTTAGCTCTCACTTTCTTTGTAGCTCACTTCCCTCAGCTCCAGCAACAGTTTGAATGCAGTCTTTAGGATTTTCAAAATTTCTCTTTATGCCTTAGCAGGTGAGAATTTCTGCAAGTGCTGCAAATTTATGATTGGTTCACATGTATGAGATAATGTTTTGAACATGTTTACGTTCCTGAATACTACTAATGTTTGTAAGCTTATCGTGTGCTGCTGAGGTTATGCTGTTTGTGAGCTTCAGAGAATAGGCCTGGAGTAAAGTGCTTCCATAACGTTTTTTTTTTTTTTCGTTTCTCAGTTTTCCATTTTCATTAATTCAACTTCTGCAGCCTTATTTTATCCTCTTATGAGGATATAGCATTAGTAGGTTAGCATTCTTGCAAAGAAGAATATGTAAGTTTATTTTTGTTAGGTCATTGATATATACTTAGTGTTTCCTGTGAGTGAACTTTGTGGGACTCGACTAAATAATTTCATCTTGATTCATTCCTTTTAATATCTGTATGGTGTTGTTCTCTTATATAATACCCATTGTTATTGGGTCATGCTTTTTCAATTGATTAAGTAGCCTTTTATGCTACACTATCATTTTTTTTTTTCTGTGATGTGCAATCCGTTCATCCTCTCTTACCTGATATCTTTTAGATTGCATCATTAAAAGCATCCTTCCATTTTTGAATACTGGTGTTCTGAGAGGCACTAGATAATTAAATATTTAACATTTTTTTTTTTTATCAGTTTGCTCATTGCACATACTGGGGATACTGGCCTGTAAATCAAGGCTTCCTTCCTGTCCTTACTGTCTTCTGTTGTCTGGCATTCGCCAATCGCTGATTTGTTAAAAGTTCTGTCTGAGTGACTTGTACTTCATTTTGGCTCTGTTATTCATGTTGACTGGTCTTGATGTAACAAGTTCCATCATTAATCTCCTGACTGCCTCATTGGTTATTTTAATGTCTGATGATTCCACTTGGGTTATCCTCCTTTCTGTTTTTGGTACTAGCCATTGTTTATTTGTACATACACTGTGGGCTTTTCTCTTAACCTTGGTATACTTCCTAATATAATTTTTTATGAGTTTCACCTTCTTTTCTTAGAGTTATCATCTGCCCTAATTGTCTTTTTTCTTACGTGGCACTTAAGTAATGTTGCTTCTCTCGTCTTTTTTTTTTTTTTTTTTTTTTTTTTTAACAAGTTGGTCGTCTCCAACCGAGGAAGGGTGACCCAAAAGAAAGAAAATCCCCAAAAAGAAAATACATACTTCATCATCATTCAACACTTTCACCTCACTCACACATAATCACTGTTTTTGCAGAGGTGCCCAGAATACAACAGTTTAGAAGCATATACGTATAAAGATGCACAACATATCCCTCCAAACTGCTAATATCCCGAACCCCTCCTTTAGAGTGCAGGCATTGTACTGCCCATTTCCAGGACTCATGTCCGGCTATATAAAAATAACCGGTTTCCCTGAATCCCTACACTAAATATTACCCTGCTCACACTTCAACAGCTCGTCAGGTCCCAAATACCATTCGTCTCCATTCACTCCGGTCGAACATGCATGCTTGCTGGAAGTCCAAGCCCCTCGCCCACAAAACCTTCTTTACCCCTTCCTTCCAACCTTTTCGAGGACGACCCCTACCCCGCCTTACTTCCCCTACATATTTATACACTCTCCATGTCATTCTACTTTGATCCATTCTCTCTAACTGACCAAACCACCTCAACAACCCCTCTTCAGCCCTCTGACTAATACTTTTATTAACTCCACACCTTCTCCTAATTTCCACACTCCGAGTTTTCTGCATAATATTTACACCACACATTGCTCTTAGACAGGACACTCCACTGCCTCCAACCACCTCCTCACTGCAGCATTTACAGCCCAAGCTTCACACACATATAAGAGTGTTGGTACTACTATACTTTTATACATTCCCTTCTTTGCCTCCATAGATAACGTTTTTTGTCTTCACATATACCTCAACGCACCACTCACCTTTTTTACTTCATCAGTTCTATGATTAACCTCATCCTTCATAAATCCATCCGCCGACACGTCAACTCCCAAATATCTGAAAACTTTCACTTCTTCCATTCACTATTCTAAACTATTTTTTTTTACTTCACCCAAAGATATTCATTTCTTACTCATCTAGCTTCCCTGTTCCCTATTAATTGTATATAGCCCTTTTCTTGCTCTTCTGCTCCTGAAATCTGTCTCCTTCAACTGATAATTGAACCATGGGTTCTTTCAGTATCCTAGTCCCTGTAGGTTGGTTTAAATTTCTCTGTCACCTACTTGAGTTTTTTTTTTAACACAGTGGTTGTCTCCCACCAAGACAGGGTGACCCAAAAAAGAAGAAACATAAAGTTTTTCTTCTTTTTACATTTAATAATTTATACAGGAGGAGTTACTAGCCCCTTGCTCTTGGCATTTTAGTCGCAACTTATGATAGAAGTGGCTTACAGAGGAAGGATTCTTTTCCACTTGCACTTCTTTCAACAAACCAGCCGTATCCCACTGAGGCAGGGTGGCCCAAAAAGAAAACAAAATTTTCTCCTTTTAAATTTAGTAATATATACAGGAGAGGGGTTACTAACTCCTTGCTACCAGCATCTTAGCCGCCTCTTACGACATGCATGGCTTACAGAGGAGGAATTCTGTTCCACTTTCCCATGGAGATAATTGGAAATAAACAAAAACAAGAACCAGTAAGAAAATGGAAGAAAACCCAGACATACCTGAAATCCTACGCCAGTAATCCTACCATCATGTAAAACAATTACAGGCTTCCATATTACACTCCCTTGGCGGGATGGTAGTACCTCCCTGGGCGGTTGCAGTCTACCACTTCTTATTGTTTATTATTTTTAGTTCTTGATAAATTACCCATTGAATTCAGTGTTTACCTGTACTAGGGTCAGAAAATGGCTCAGTTTTTCTTATGCATCTTATGTGTGCATCAGTTTCTTTGAGTCCCCATCTTCAGTTTTTAACTTCACTTCCAGGTAGCAGAGCTATTAACATGTCTTCCACTCTTACACATGTATTCAGGGTCTGGTATGTACACTAGTGCACATTAGTGCATTTTTGTATACATATGCATATACTGTGTTCATAAAGATAATCGTCTTTTCCTGTGAATTGACTTGTGTAATGTGTCCCTAATCCTATGGATTTCATTAAATTGGCATTTGAATTAATGTGTGTAATGTGCCTCTACTACCTCCTTCCTTAGTGCATTTCATTTGCTTGTTTCTTTCACTCAAAAGTTCATTTTTATATATCTGGCTCATTTTGGTATTTAGTTGTGATTGGTGCTTTCAGTCTTGGCCTACCTGTTTCATTCTATTTCTGCTTTATGTACACCTACATATCTTATACGTATACAGTGGACCCTCAGCTAACAATGGCATCAGCTAATGTTAAATCCAGCTAACGATACATTTTAACGCAAAAATTTAGCCTCGGCTAACGCTAAAAAACTCGCCCAACGCGATTCGCTCGAGATGCTTCCACCTGTGGCCTGAGCATGCCTCAGTTGTCCCGTGCGTGCCAGTGTTTACAAGCCAGCCAGTGCGGTTGCATCCACGCATACAATCGGAACATTTCATATCACAGCGTTTTTAGTGATTGTACCTGCAAAATAAGTCACCATGGGCCCCAAGAAAGCTTCTAGTGCCAACCCTGTGATAAAAAGGGTGAGAATTAGTATGGAAATTAAGAAAGATTTTGAAGGGTTTGGGGCTAACCCTGAAATGCCTATGCCAGTTGTGGAATCCATTGTGCCTACTTCAAAGATTAAGGAAATGTGTGCAAAGTGGGTTGAACTGCAAACCTTTATGGATGAAAATCACCCTAACACAGCTATTGCAAGCCATGCTGGTGACTATTACAATGACAATGTTGTGCCCCATTTTAGGCAAATTTTAAAGGAACGGGAGGTACAGACCTCTATAGACAGATTTGTTGTGCGACAGAGGTCCAGTGACTCTCAAGCTGGTCCTAGTGGAATTAAAAGAAGGGAAGTAACCCTGGAAAAGGACTTGACACCTCAAGTCCTAATGGAAGGGGATTCCCCTTCTAAACATTAACAACTTCCACATTCTCCCCTCCTCCCATCCCATCAATCATCACCAGATCATCAATAAAGGTAAGTGCCAGTTTGTGTGTATTAAAATTGATATTTCATGTGGTAAAATTTTTTTTTTCATACTTTGGGGTGTCTTGCACAGATTAATTTGATTTCCATTATTTCTTATGGGGAAAATAATTCAGCTAACGATGCGCTTTCAGGAACGGATTAATATCGTTAGCTGAGGGTCCACTGTATTTACAGCATATCTG